AATTCGTTAGGTAGGGTGACCATCTGCGTAGTTTTACAACGGACAGTCCTGTATTTCAATTCCTGTCCTGTATAAATTTGAAAATTTTGTTTCAGGTCTTGTATTTTTTTCACGAAAATTTACGTTAATTTTCAAATTTTCCTTTGTGTCCTGTATTTTTTAGGAGATTTATCAAATGTCCTGTATTTTCATAAAAAATAGATGGTCACCCTATCGTTAGGTCACCGTTCTACTTGATGGACACTCAAATTTGAGTTTAATATTTCAACTCTTGAATTCCTTAACGTATGTTTTCATTATTATAATTTTTTTCTTTAAATTGTAGTTTTTTTCATGGAAAATACAAAATAAAAAAAAAACTAATTTGAATTGTCGGTTTTTTTTGGTATGAAAACGGGAATTCTTGGGAATATTCCCGATTTTAGAACCCCTAGTCTATTCCTATTTCTAATGTTTACAAAAAAAAATTGCATTTAGGAATCTCCTACGTGCGCAATTTCACTTTCTTGATCACTATTTATTGCTATTATCTCTACTGGCTTACTTTCGTTATCGCTGAACTCGTTTCCACTCATCTTTGCATGCAATAACGAAAAATCGACGACCGTTGTGTGACTGTGACATAATAATTTAACGACCAACATAGAGATAGTGATAGTTGACATTGAATCTTATGCAAAGGAGACGCCATAGAAATATGAATATATTTATTAGTAATCATTTTATTTATGAACATGTGCGATAATGAGCTGGCGAAGATAAATGAGTAAAGTACAAAAGAATATTAATGAAATGAGAACAGAGATAGTAAAGAAGATTCAATACAAAATAGAGGAAATAAATAAATATAATTGCATTGACTTTGACTTGTTATGAATAAGATGAGAAAGGACATTACAGATTCTAAAGGTTGAAAAACAGGAAAATGTGGAATATATTAAAAAACTTTAATTTTCATTGCAAAAAATAAAACTTGTTCAATCTATCATGTTTAGCAAATTACATATGTTAGACATTACTTAACATGTGTTCTTAAAATGCCAGGTGTGTATCAAAATCACATCCTGAGAAATTTTTATCAAAGAACAAGAACAATTTAAACATATGTCCTGTTTTATGATTCAAAAGCTCATTTAAATTCGAACAATTATTGATATTATCATGAAAATAAATTTATTAAAGTGGTTTTCTTTAATGATTTAATGATGACTTTAATGATTTAATTGAAAATGAATACACCAATGCTGTTCTAGAAAATGTGTGACAACAAATCAATTTAGAAACAAAAGGATGATCAGTTCTCCAAGAATAATTTGAGTATTCATTTGAATATCTATTATATAGAATATTCAGTATAAACCATTAAGTTGCAGGTGTCCTATAAGTTTTTTTTTGAAGGAAATAAGACTCCAAGACACATTGCAATATACATTCAAATTAAGTTTCCTGGTCAAAAATTATCATCTGTGAAAATCTCGTGTTTCGAACGTTAGCATTAATTTATTAATGATCTTTCTCAATAATCTTGTTTATTTAACCTGATTATCCTTTAATAAAGTCTGGCTTAATATTCCATTAACTATGCATAATTAAAGAGAATGATTGCACTTTAAATTTCTAACATCAACTGACTCTAGTCTCCATAAGCAATCCAATCCTCAAGTATTCTTAGAATTTCTCCATTTGGAAGAAATTGTAGACATCAAATAAAAAGCAAGAAACAGAATAAAATTTCAATAAATCGCACGTCTTGCATCCCATAAAAAAAATGTAAACAAAACCAAGAAAAGAAGAAAAAAAATTGCACGCGTTTTTTCGTTTATTCGGTCATTGACGTCTCTCATTTTCGGTGCTGCGCGCGAGAAAAAAACGAAGCTGCACAAAAATTTTCGTATGTTGGCGAAAAAAATTAAAGCATGAATTTTATGAGTTCTAGTGGGGATACGCTGAACATGTAATTATTGTCTTAAAAGTTTTAATTCCATGTTCCTGTTATTTCACCTTAATAAGAGATTTAATTAGTTGATAATTTTTTTGGACAGGGAACAAACCTTGAATGTTCTTTCAGATCACGTAGACAATTTTTTTTTGTATCTTTTTTTTTGTTTCACTTGATCAAATATTTTTTGAAAAGTAATGTTAAAACCGCAGCAGCACATGACATAAGGTAAAGACAAATATTTGTCGAGGTCTTTTCCTTATAAAAAAACTTTACTTAAGATTCATTAACATACTAACCGTCAATTTACCAATTATTATTCTATTCTTTTATGTTGTTTGTCTTTTTTAAAAGAAGCAAGTAAACACGATGATTGATGGAATATTCTTCGGATAATCAAGATTCTTTAGATGTTCTGTTATTTATTTGAGCACGAAAGGTGACAAATTTTTTCATTGTTCGTCATAATCATGTGTGGGACTTGTAGAGTTTTAATGTCACTAGAATTGACTTCTTGTGTCCACAGCTAGTCTATATTTCTTAAGAATCAATCAAATCAATCTTTTGTAACAATATTGACTTGATTCCAATAGATGAACTTACATAAATTATTAAATTAGATTATTATTGAATTTTATCTCATTTTAACAAAGTTATAAAATTGAAAATAAGTTTTATTATGAGAAAACATTAAGTGATTGGGTTCAATTCTCAAAATGTTAAAAAGTTGAATATAGTAATATGTATCCGCAGGATTCTACCAGATTCTCCTTTTTGCTTTTAATATAATTATTTTTTTTGGAGCTCTTCTTTAAGCTCTATTTTACATACTAAACATTTTTATGTAAAGGTCAATGATCATTAAACAAAACACAGCATACCAAAATACAAGTTTGCCCAAACATAAACCTTCCTAAAAACTCCATGACCTTAAGAAGGCCGCTAACAAGCTACCGTCGATCATGCTTATCGAATATTTTCAATCGTCATTAACTTACGTCATTTTTTAACACGACTTAAAAGCTCGCTTCCGAAAATGCTTTTTTTTAAGTCAATGTTATGATTGATGGAGCTATTTTTTGTCAGTACCTGCGTGCAGGAACGAATTATACAGGAAATAATGACTTACTAAATTGGACTTATTTGACAAAATCTTAAAAATAAAAGCAAAAACAAGTTTTAACTTCTTCTTGCCAATGAAATTCTCTTATGACGCTTGTTCTTGATTCAATGATTTTGTAATGTTGATTGTTTCTGTTTGTGTTGGATATTCGCATAACATCTAATTAAGTTTAATGTGTTTTGTCTATCAAAATGTTTAGTCTGTGTCTTTTAAGCCTGAATTTGTTAAGAATTTAATATTAAATTTCGTATATTATTCAAGAAAAAAGTTTCTAAGATGTTGTAGCTGTGATGAGTCAGAGTAAAATGAAAGCGAATCTTCCAGACTTTTATATTCATTCTAAGTCAGTTTTGATTGTGAAAAGAAATTTGAAGTTCAGCAGACCATTTCAGTAATTATTTTATTATACTTTAAAAGGTTTGAGCCTCAAGCTAGAGAAAATATTAGAATGTTGCTATGAGTCATCGTTAATGTCTTCGTTTTCATGCCTTAAAACTTCAACAATAACCGCTTTCGAAAATTATTATTTTTTCACTTTTAATTTACCGTATAAAACACCAAAAAAATAAAGTTTCGAAAAAATCTTGGATAAATGAAAAGGGAAAATGACGACTAAAATTCTATTTCTGATTTTAATAAAATATGGTAATTTTTTTCTGATTGGAGCTTATTATAATTCCATCTTAAGTTTTAGAAGTCTTATGTGCTATTGTTCAGGTTCGTGCTTATTATTTTCTGAGGGATAATTATGTAGATTTATTCTACCTTAAAAGGGCTTTTGAAGATGAGAGATATTAGGAATGTCTTGTAAAATTTGTTTTTGGACTTGGGAATGTGAAGAAGATATTAGGAATGTCAGGTGTTGATTAGTAATTTTATGTGATTTTTTAAGGCACACAAAATTCAATCATTGATTTCTTAAATGAATTCTTCATATATCTTTTTTAGAACAGATCAGTAGCTTTAATATCTTAACAAAAAAGAAGATTTGTTACGAACAGTAATTCATGAATAAATGAGACAAAATCGCAAAAAAATTGGAATCAGAAAGTGAAACAAAAATTTACTGTTCGAAAAAGTTTTACTTTTTGGATTAATCTCGAATTTTAAAGCTTTGCAAATTATCTTTGGTTTCTATAATCATACTTTCGTTTTATCTTATCTCGTTTGAAATTTTTATGAAATTTCTTATTGTTATTGAAAATTTACAAAAAAATCAATTTAAGTTAAAAAACATTTAAAAATGATTGTAAGGGCTAAAAATCAGTTAAAACTTCACTACCATTAATAATTTAACGATCCATATTCCAAAATGACTATGACTTGCTTGAACTTCGACATCATAAATTTTTTAAACGTCCATAAATCCATTTTAAATCGTGAAACGAAAAAGGCAATAATTTTAACGACCCTCTCATGATGAAAACAATATTTACGGAACAATAAATTAAAAAACTGACGAAGTTCACGTCCAAGGTGATTCAGTTATGTCACAATACTCTCGAAATACACGACTTTAAAGCTATCCTCATAGGAAAAATCTTCTCACATTTAATTATATACAATAAAAGAGATGATGAATGACTAAATTTTCAATTGTTATTTTTTGACGTCAACAAAGTTCGCTAATTCTATAGCTAAACATCTTTGAATAATTAATATCGAGTTAATCATATGCAAATGATGTGCTGAGTTCCACGTTTTCACCCTTAAATTTTTTTTTTATTGTTTTATTTCGTGAGACTTACTAATTGAATAAAATGCAATTTGAAGTATATAAAAAAGTTTTATAGATAAAAAGTGCAATTAATTTGCAACACATGCCGTTTAACACTTCCATTCATGCTTACTAGATATTTTTATAGGTCAATGTCTGAGAGAGACGACTGAGAGTAATAAAAATAAATAAATAAATAAATCTCAATTTTATTATTTCAGAGAAAAAGATTGTGCTGAAAGGCGTTTCAGGAAGGTTCAAGTCTGGCGAGTTGACAGCAATTTTGGGCCCAAGTGGCGCTGGAAAGTCATCATTACTTAATATTCTTACAGGTTTCACGTATGTATCAAAAATTACAGTTATTAGCAAGTCTCGGAAGTTGATTGAATTCGAAAATAGCTTAAACACTGTGCTTAATGTGCTTTAATTAGGAGCGAAAATGAGACTATCTATTAAATGCTAATTCCTATCATAAAAAAATTCATATTGATTGAAAACTGATTTCTTGATTTCTATGAGACTTCTCGGAAATTAATTCAAGTCTGAGCTTACTTTGTATCGACGCAGACTTAGTGATTGATATGTCACACAATGAGAATAGTATCAGATGGTTTTTGAGGAAATTGTGATCCTAATTGATTTAAGTTTTGTCAATCAATTAAGAACAGCCTTAAAAGTTTCTCTGTCTTACGTCTATTATGTAATTCTACTGCGATTAAACTTTAACTTTTGAATAATCAGTATAATTGCTAATTATCATTGCAACACCTTACTTATTCATTATTAAACCTCAGAATAAATCTAAGAGTTTTCCCGTTTATTTTTTTGTTGAAATTTCTTTTCTTTTCCTTAACCAGCAATTAAAAATGCCATTGTACTTACAATAACTGAATTGTTGTGCGAAAAAATTAATTTTTCACTTCATCGTTTATGGAAATGATTTTCTATTGAAAAAATATATATACCGCAGAAGTCTAGTTACCTCCATTAGTTTCTATTTCATTCATTGCCGATTGATTGCAATTTTATTGATTACTGAATGGAATTGATAATTGACTACTCATTTCTCAAATGTCATTGGTTGAAAATATTAAATTCTATCTTTAATTTATTTGTTATTTTGCTGGTTGGTAATCTATGGCTGAATTATCGAAAAATAAAACTTTGGAGCTTACCTTTGTACTTCCTTGGTTTTTAACAATTTTTGCAAACTCTTTTGAAATCAAAATTCAACCTTTGAAATTTGTATTCAAAATGTTTCCTTTGATTAAATTATCAAAATGTTACCAATTGCTTCTATTACGTTACCATTACTAAGTTGGTATCTCGTTATACGCAAAGTTTTGAGTCAGACCGAACTATCACAACCACATTAAACTATTCTGGATGTTTAAAAGTTTAAAATCTTATAAACAGCACTGACTCTATAAAATTCAAGATATCCCTGAAATCAATTAATTCCAACACAAAATATAAACGATAGATTAATAATTTAGCAAATGAAGTTCATTCATGGATGTAAAAACTCGAATCATAAAATAAGTACAGCATTTGAATCTAAAATAAATGTATTTGATAGCATTGCAAATGAAATTCATAGAATATTTCTATAAATACTTCAACATTAGATGCATGCACAGCTGTATAAAATCTCAGAATATATAAAATGACATGATTTGAAGGATTTTATATCAATATAGACATTAATTATTTATTTAAATTAACTTACAACTTCTGTTTCATGTAATATTTTCTCATTGCAGCACCAAAGGCGTCAAAGGAACACTAGAAATGGGCAAAAAGTCATCAAACAGTGCACAAAAGTTATGCAGTTATATTCTACAAGATGATAATCTCTATCCATTTTTTACGGTCAATGAAACCATGTTAATTGCCACAAATTTAAAGATTTCAAGCCGCTGTATGAGCCACAATGATAAACAAATTTTGATTGATAATATTTTGGATACTTTACACTTAGTACATGCCAAAGAGACTCGTTGCAGAAATCTTTCCGGTGGTCAGAAGGTAAACGTTATAATTTTGTAACGATCCTTGATTTTTCATTCCTCTTTCAATTTCCAGAAGCGACTTTCAATAGCATTAGAGTTAATTGACGATCCACCAATATTGTTTCTAGACGAACCTACGACGTAAGTTGTAAAATTGCAGATATATAGCTTAACTTGACATGCTTATTATTTTTACTATAGCGGGCTAGACAGTTCATCATCAACATATACGATACGTCTATTACACAATTTAGCACGTGAGGGAAGGACGATTGTAAGGCTAAACTATAAATTTAAAAGATATAATAAAAATAAGCTCTATCCAATAACTAGGTTTGCACGATACATCAACCATCAGCAACTATATACGAGATGTTTGATTTAGTCTATGTCTTAGCAGAGGGTTATTGCATTTATCAGGGATCACATAGCAATACAGTTCCATATCTTGCATCACAAGGATTTCAATGTCCACAATTTCACAATCCAGCTGATTACTTACTGGAAGTAGCAAACGGTGAATATGGAAACTTTACATATCAATTAGCAAAAGCTGCAATTGGTGATCAGTGGAGAACATCGTCATCGACTGTTTATATTAAAGATGAATATGAGAATGAATCTAATTCCGATCGTAATGATGATGGAATCTCAAATGATACAGAAGAGAAGCGTATTAGTGTCTATACCAAAACAAGTGAAAGTGAGAATTTATCTGGCAAATTGAGCTTTAAGTCAAGCATTAAGACAACGCCATCAGAATGGACACGATTATGGATTCTTATATCTCGATGCAATGTTTTACTCTTTCGAGATTGGACAGTGACACATCTCAAGTTGCTACTTCATTTCATTAGTGCTGTTATTATTGGACTTTATTTTGGTGACGCCGGCGTCAATGCAAACAAAAGTATATCGAATATTGGGTTTCTTATTATCAATGCAGTTTATTTATGGTACACATCAATGATGCCAGCTGTCTTAAGATTCCCAGCTGAAATCTCAATTCTCAAGAAGGAAGTCTTTAACAATTGGTACAAATTGCGGACATACTATATCGCAACTTTAATCACTTCCACACCTATTCATGTAAATATTGACATTATTCTGCAAATTATCAGGAATTATACTTATTTACTGTTCTTATTTACAGACACTTTTCGCACTCGTGTATGCAACTGTTGTGTATTTCTTAACAGAACAGCCACCAGAGCCGGGACGATACTTAAAAGTAATGTTGGTTTATATTTTGTGTACAATAACGGCAGATGGATTTGGAATTATGCTTGGCACTCTTGTTAATCCTGTGGTAAGTCGACTGAATAACTGGATATATTTTGGACACATTAATTCGTTTATTTTTACAGAACGGCACATTCTTTGGAGCAATCTCTTCATGCTTTATGATCGTATTCTGTGGATTTCTCGTCTTGTTCAAGCACATGCCAGTCTTCATGCGATATGTCAGTGACTTAAGTTTACATAAATATTGTCTAGTTGCGCTTACTGTGGCGACTTACGAGAATGGAAGACCTGATATTATGTGTCCTGAGGATAGCTTCTATTGTCACTACAGCAAGTCATCAATAATTATGAAGGAACTTGGTGTTGAGACCGAGACTTATAGCTTAAATGTCCTCAAAATTATCTTTCAACTAGTTCTCTTTAAAGGAATTGCATTCTTTACACTCAGGAGGGCTTTAGTGAAAGGATAATTAATTTATTTTATGTATTTTGAGAATTTATTTGGAACCAGACACAATTTGATGTGAATATTTATTTTAATTTAATATTTAACGTGGGATCAAATTTTTAGAATAATAAAATGATGGATTCTAGCTTTATTATTGATCAAATTACTGTTTTCATTCTTAAGCTATTAATTAACTTTTCAGATAAAATAACGGCTATAATTCTCAATTTCAAACTCAAACGGTTTTTTAAGATTTGAAAATTACAGTGTTCCTCTTGTGCAGCAGTTTTTAAATAAATAAAACAATATTTTACTCATCCTCATTAATTAATTCGTTTTCGATGGTTTAACAGCTGATATTGGAAATAGTTCTTCATTAATCTCATTCATAAAGCATTCACAAACAATCGAATCTTCTTAATTTAATTAATCGTCGTAGATATTTAAGATAAAAGTGAATTTTTCAAAAAGTCAATAAAAATGCGAGGTCAAATTAGTTCAATTTTAAGAAATTATTCATTTCTCTTGACTAAGCACTCAAGCTATGGATTTAGGCAGGCTGAGGTACTTAATAGGTCAATTCATCCATCATTTCAAAGGTAAAGAGAGTTCTGACTCATAATGAAGGAATTTAATGAAAACTATTTACAGCTTTAGGATGATGTCATCTAATGAGAGGTCTAATGATCCAATGAATTTGACGACTGACAAATCTAACTATGAAGCAACAGCTGGAACTATGAAAGATGGTAAAATTAACAAAATTAAGGAAATAAAAGAAGTTTGTTCAACATCCCAAATATAAAATTCTAGTGAAATTAAAGATTATCGAGAAAATGGGCTTACAATTTGGATATAATCCATTACAGCATAGCCGTGAACATCTTATGCAATACACCCCAAAATCTATAGATGAATTACCACCAAGATCAATGCAAGACAGCTTTACTTCTGCTATAATTCCACTGTCTACAGACGTTAAATTGCGTGAAAAATATGTCGGATTTTTAGGAAGCCTTAGAATCGGTAGATTAATGGAAGACATGGACTTATTCGCAGTCTGGGTTGTTCATCAACATGTTTTAGTGCCAAATTTACAGCCTGGAATCCCATTGCCTTACACTTTTGTGACAATTTTAGTCGATAAAATTGATTTTACTGAAATTGATGGCAAGCCTGATGCTGATATTCGTCTATCAGGTCATGTTAGTTGGGTTGGAAAAACATCTGTTGAAGTAGTCGTTTGGCTTGAACAAAGACGCACTGGAAAGTGGAGAAAAATTACTAGAGCATTATTCTTAATGGCTGCACGCGATCCCTGTAATATTAAATCAGCTGTTGTTAATCCACTCGTTCCAGGCAATGACGAAGAAAAGATGATTCTTGATAGTGGTGAAAGTAGAAAGAAAAGGCGTCAGGCAATACAGCAATTTGATTTACTTAAAACGGAACCGAATGCATATGAAACGAAACTTATTCATGATTTATTTATTAAAACGATCGATACGAAGTCGAAAGCATTCAACAAGAGAATCTTACCACCTGGTTGCGTATGGATGGAAGATGCTGACTTAAATAATATTATTTTTTCACATCCAGAAGACAGGAACAACCATAATAAGATTTTTGGTGGATTTTTAATGAGACATGCACTTGAACTATCTTGGGCTTTAGGCTATAGCTTCTCCAAACGTCGTCCAAAATTGGAACATATTTCTGATATTAATTTTATCAAGCCTGTCGATGTCTCATCACTTATCTCTATGAATGCACACGTCCTTTATACCGAATTAAATTATATGGAAATTGTAGTCATCGCAGAAGTTTATGATCCAGTCAGCGGTTCACAATCTACAACAAACTCATTCTACTTTACTTACTCAGTTGCTGACACGTTACCACAGGTCATACCTAAGACTTACCATGAAGCTATTTGGTATATCGATGGCAGACGAAAGTTTAGACATATTATGGAATTAGCAGTTACTCCTTAAATAATCAGTGCAATATTTATTGATATTCATGACATTTATGTGCAGCTTTACTTATATTTGCACAAGTATTTTATGTATTTAACATTTTTAACTTCCCTATATGTTGATTTTTTTTATGAATTAATATAATTAACCGCCAAAATAATATTTGGATTATAAATTCTAGCAGTTATGATATTAACGATCAAAAAATATTTGAATTTTGTTCTTGCAGTTTGGAAAAGCGAGTTTGACTCGTCAAGCATGATCAAAAATACATAAATTTTCTTAGAATATCTAGTTTTTTGAAGATAAAGCTGCTGATGTCTTACCAAGGATGCACAGTTATGAGTGATCAAAGCATTGCCATCAACAAATTCTGTAAGAGACGCTCAGCACTGACTGACAAATGAGCAGAATTATAAGACTAAGGAACAGAAGTAAACAAAAGAAAAACATAAATACGTGTTAGATTCGAAAAATCCTTAATATTATTAAAAATGTCGAGTAATGATGTTCAAACACTTGCGAATTCTATAATAGGAACTTCAATATTGGCAATGCCATATTGCTTTGCAAAAGTGAGTAAATTTAATAAAATTGCCGCAATAATTTCTGATTTTCTCGTTTAATTAACAGTGTGGAGTTATTTTATCAATTCTATTACTTATATTAAGTACAATTATAACCAGGAAATGTTGTCATTATTTAATCAAAGCCAGTATCGTAACGAGAAGGAAAAATATGGAGTTACTAGGTAATTGTAGACTGTAATTAGAGCTTAATACGTCATCCTAATTGATTTCATTTGATTGATTCTCTAGGTTTCTATATATTTGGCAATAGTGGAAAGACACTCGTCGAGATATCAATTATAGGATTTTTAATGGGTACTTGCATAGCGTTTTTTGTCGTTATCGGTGATCTCTGTCCACTATTAATCCAAAAACTGTTTAATTTGCAAAACTACAATCACTATGCACTTCGCAACTGGCTGATAATTGCAATAACAATACTGTTCATCATCCCATTATCATTTCTTAAAAATATTCAGTCACTGTCGTTCGTGTGCAAGGCATCAATTGGATTTTACATAATTCTTACATTTAAAACAATCTTGGAGTCATTTTCAAGGTTTAAGAACGACGAGAATTGGTCATCAAACATCGAATTATGGAATACAGAAAATATCCTTCAATGTCTACCAATTTTCTCAATGGCTATGTCCTGTCAAATGCAATTATTTGAAGTCTATGAAAACATAACGAGTTTCGATAGGATTCGACAAAATATCTTTCATGCCACATCTATTTGCTTAGTTGTGTACACAGTCATAGGGTTTTTCGGATATGTGGCATTTTATAATCAAACATTGTCGGGCAATGTCTTACTGAACTTTACACCGTCATTTTCAACTGACATTATTACACTTGGATTTATTATGTCCTTAGCATGTAGCTTTCCATTAGTTATATTCCCATGTAGGACATCTTTAGCATCATTAATCTATAGAAAAGTGCATCATTCAGATATTTCACCATATGTTCCAGAATCAAAGTATAAGCCATTGACAATATTCATCATTATATCGACGATGTTTGTTGGCATTTTAATTCCATCTGTCGAAGTTGTGATTGGATTTGTTGGATCGACTATTGGAGTTCTTATTTGTATGATATTTCCAGCTATATGCTTTGTTAAAATCATGCAAAGGCATTCGAGTGAAAAAGTTATTGCACAAGCTATTATAGTCGTTGGATTTGTAATTATGATCCTTGGAACCTACTCTAATTTAAGTGCATTAGATACGGCAAAATCTGGAAGTCATATTGAAGTTAAAGTTCCTGTTTTAAATATCCCAAATGAACCAGTTCCACTTTTACATCCAAAAGACGTTCAAAGGTTCCAAAATGATCAACCTGTACTTGCTAAAGAAGTTCCAATTATTCCATTAGCTCCAATCAAAAATATTAGTGAAGAAACGATCCAAAAACCAGCAATAATTCCTGAAATTAAGAAGGCTGATGAGGAAGTAAAAATTTCTGAGGATGGTATTAGAAAGGAGGAACAAGAAATAGCTGCTGATATCGAAAAGGCTCCACTTGAACCACTCAAAAATCCCGAACAGGAAATAAAAGAGAAAGATAATGAAATCAAGGAACTAAAGGCATCAAAAGACAAATTAGAAAAGGAAGTGCATGAAATGAAGGAAGAACTTGTCAAACAGAATCAAGAGACACAACAACTTGTGCTTAAAAAGTTTGATGAAATCGCTGAGAAAGTTGAAAAAATTGAGAAACAATCGAATGACGGCAAGGAAGATGCTAAGAAACCAGTTCCTGTAAGTTTTCAACTGCTATTCTAAAATTAAATTTTAACAGTTGTGAAAGATCTGAATATTTAACAGTTTTGTAAAATTTGAATTTTTAACAGTTTTGTAAAACTTGAATTTTTTAATAGTTTTGTAGAATTTAAATTTCTGAACGTCTTCAGAAAATTGAATTTATAACGGTTTTTTTTTTCACTCTTTCAGATTGAAACACGTGATAATATCGAGGAAGAACATGAGCATGATATTAAACATGAAAATCTAGTAATCATACAAAATGAACCAATTCAACAGCAACAAGCAGAATTAAAATCTGAAAACTTGAAAAAAGAATCGAGTAATGCTGAAGAGCTGCATGCAAAAGACTTGAATGTAGCAAAAGAGACTGACAAAATTAACGACACTCCACTAGAAAAGATCCATAAACCTATAGATCCGATTGTTAAGTTGATTAAGGACCAAGAGCCACTTTCTTATCGAGTTGGTGAGAAAATGATGGAAGAGAAAAAGCACAATTTAAGCATATCAGTTGAAAAAGATGGCAATAAGCATATTGAGAATGTAGAGCTCAGCAAACTTCAAGATGAAAAGCAACTCGATGATATGAAACCATTAGAACCTGAAAAGCATGATGTGGAAGTATCAGAAAAGGACAAAAGTTCTCATGAAAATCGCGATGAAATCCATGAAGACCTTAAAAATGAAATGAGAAAGAAACGAGACACAGATGGTCTTAATGAGCTTTTAAAGTTGAATCCAATTGACTTACAATTTAAATCTATAATTAGTCGTGATTTGAAAGCTGTAAAGGATGAAGCAAGATGAGAAAAAGGCTTAAGTTCCAGTTTAATTGTCTGCATATTTATTTAATTGTGATAGTTGAGAATATTTTGAATAAAAATTGAAAAATTTGTGACCAGAAAAAGAAGCTCTAGTATCGTCGTCTATCCCGTTCGTAGCTTCTATCACGTTTATGGTACCGATCATCATAATTTCTGGATCTTTCATTTGAACGGGATCTTGAGCGACGTCTGTCACGATTTGGTGATCTTTTCCTGTCTCGTCGTTCCTCTTTGTACTTTTTGCGTAATGGTGACTCATTTCTTTTACGATCCTTTGATTTTTTGTATTTTTCACGGGATGTTGATCTTGAACGACTCCTTCTGCGATGATCTGATGATGATGTATGCTTACTGCTTGTATGTTTTGGTGGCTCACTGACTTTCTCATTTTCTTCATCGTCAGTCATCATTTCTTGGTCTAAATCGTCATCTAGTAAAGAAACTTTTGGATCCAGTTCACCACTTTCTTCTAAAACACATCTCTTTTGGATTCTCGGTAGAATAACATCGCAAACACGTTCCTCTCTTAATAATTCATCAATAAACTCGTCCATATGAACAATTTCGTAATGTCCCATTCGATTTTGTCTTCTTAACTTCCGATAATCATTGTAAAGTGGCTCAAGATATTTGTAGCAATCAACAGCTGATGCTGTAAGTCTTAAATAGAATGCTCCTAATGCACGGACATACTTAAACTCCTCATTCTTGATGAATTCAATTACAATATCTTTTTCTGGCTGGATCTGTAAAAACTTTAAAACCAGGCAAATAAATGGCGTCGGCTTAATATTTCCTCCAAAAACACCGCCCAAAAATCGTAATTCCATCGCTTTATCAACCATAAGTTCCGCTGTAAGTGCAAAACAGCTTTCTTTCCAATATTGTGAATCATAAATTCTTGATCTGATGATTTTCTCAATGAGATACTGTGGATTGGTTCCATGGATGTTTTTGGCATCCTTTAATGTTCTGTTTGCCATGCTACAATAGTTTTATCTGCTGTGTTTCACCACTTAATTAAAGTTTTAATTTTTAAACGTTTTACAGCAAAAATATGTAAACAAACTAGTCAAGAAGTCACTTTTACAGATGTGAAGGAATGAAATAAGCGCATTTTCCTCGCATAGATCAGTAAATTCATATTGAAGTCATATTCTTTGATCCAGTCGAATAAAAGTCATTTCCTGAATAAAAAAACAAAGATCCAGTAGGATTTTGGTCATGTTTGGAACCAAATCGAAAAAAAAGACAGCCAGTCAAAGCAGACTTTTAAACGCATTGTTTCTCCTTTTAAAAAATTGATACAATTGGAACTGCTGTAAAATTACTCATTCTGCTATAAAAATAAAGGAAAATTGATAAAAATTGAAAAATTAATTTTCTAGCTTAAAAGTACTGTGCAATCAACCAAATTGTGATTAGGTAAGTCAATAAGCATAACGTCTATCCATCAGCATTAAATGATACATCAAATTTTCAGATAAAAATTCAGAAATGTCCAAAAACACATCAAGTTCGGCATTTAGAAAGATTGACGTTGACCAGTACAATGAAGACAACTTTAAGGATGACGAGCAAGAGAATCAGCAGTTGGGAGGCATTGATGAAAACGAAATCAATCAACTGCTAGCAACGCAAAAGAATTGTGATGCACTTAAAATTTGCTTGGAAAACGCCCCATTATTCAGTAAGAATCAGCAAGCAAAGGAACAAGCCCTTCAAATCACTTTGCGTGTTCTCTTGTCTATTAAACCATCACAAATTGATAGTGCATTAGAGATTCTTGATGCTGAACTTATTGATACATTAATGAAGTACATTTATCGAGGCTTTGAATTCCCACAAGACGGATCCAGTGGACATTTACTTCAATGGCATGAGAAGGTCTTTGCAAGAGCTGGTGTTGGTTCCATTGTTAGAGTATTATCGGACACAGCAAGAGCATAAACGGTACTGTTCATTTATTTTTATATCCTTGACTTTGTAAGTTTCTGTATCTTATCCCATTGAATTTATGCTGAATATAATGAACAAATATCCATTTAAATAAAGTATTAAAATCACTTTTCCTTTATAAATTATCATTTTTATTTGTCATCCAATGAAAGTAGCTTAAAATCTGGAATATCTTCTTGATCACGCATCCACAAAGGACTTGTCAGCAGCTGCGATTTAAGGAAATTGGATTTCTTCATACATGATCCACTACAAAAATTCTTCCGGTCTGTTAGGTCGTAAACTGTTTTTGTTGCTACTGAGATATGGAATTGCTGCTTTGGAATCCTTAAAAAAAATTGTATAAGTTACTGGATCTTTTTTTTCACTGGATCTTTGTTAAACTTACTCTTCTATCACCTCTTTACATATTGGATATCCACAAAGTTTCATTATTGCCCTCTCTTCGGTTATATCTTGATAGTGTGACTGATTAATATCTACAAGCTGTAAAAAAGGGAATTTTAAAGTTGCTGGATGTTTCACTGGATCTTTAAATCAATTTACCATCTTAAGCAGCATTTTCTCATCTTCAATTGGGTCAATCAGCTTCTCCACAATTTTATGTGCCTTGTCATTACATTCCTTCTTTTTCAGCAGTGCGGCTTTTAGCTGTTCCTCACTAAAAGGATAAATAAATCATCAAATAATGAAATGAAATTAAAATAATGTTAATATTAACTTCATTCGACGTAATTTTCTAACAGCTGCTGCTCGTCTTGATGCTGGAGATCTTGGTTTGGGTGATTTTGATCTAGATCGTGGCTCCATTTCTGAATTATTTAATTAAAGATATTTTTGTGTCTGAAATATGTTTATTTACGTTGGCTTTATGTATGTGTGTGTGCGCAAGTTTATTGGTGTGAGTGTTGGATTAATTTTTTAATCCAAAGAATTTAGAGTTTTTGAGACCGTTAAAAAATGCCACGCATTTAAAAGGACGAAAATTCTGAAGATCATGCATGGTCTTCGAACAGCTATCAAGTTTTGTTAAGAATAAATCAAAATATTACAATGGTACAGAATGTCATATGATAGATCTTTAAACTTTTCCTATATTTTACGAATTCTTTAGAAATTTGCCGCAGATAAAGTAACAGATATCTTTATTGACAGACATTTCTTAAGACATTGAATTGCGCACTTAAAATTGTTATTTTGAATGTTTATACAGTTTTATTGGATTCGGTACTCTACCCATCCTTAAAGATGTGTGGCTCAATAAATTGTTCAACGTAGGAATCTTTTAAGACATTCAAATTCAGGCAAAACACCTGCACATCAGCTAAATTCACTATATAAGTTGAGTACCAATCTTATCTGTTTCAGTCATAATCATCAGTGAAACTTAACAAGATGTTTAAGTTAACAATTCTCTGTGTAGCTTTGCTAGCTATACGAGACGCATCTTCTCAGACCCTAGGAAAATGTGGAGGATATTGTCCCACGCAATTTACTTATGTCAACAACCCATTCTTTAAAGTTCTAGGAACTTTGAATGGAATTGACAAGTGTGGAACTCGCTATCAAAAGGCTTACTTCTATCCAAGATACATATCAGCAACATGGATTGAAGCTAAGGCAATCTGTCAGACATATGGCATGGAATTGGCATCATTTAAGACACTTGCAGAAGCTAATGCTGTCATCACCTTGGTTGAAATGAATGCTGATTTAAAAAATAGAGACAATCTTTGGATATTTATCAATGGAGTTGCTTTAGCTGCTCAATCAAAAACTGAATGGTACTGGACTGATTCAGGACAAAAAATAGACTTTGTTATTCCATGGCTTATAAATCAACCAGACACAAACGGTGGAACTGAATGGTTCTTGAGCATTGGAAAGCATAATAAGGAACAACGAACTGCGTTCAATGACATTCCTGGAAATAACTTTGTTGGTATTTTCCTGTGTCAAAGATGTGCTTAAGGTATCTTCGAGTACCACCCTGCCTTTGAAGTTGAATAATAAAGAAAAATAATTTCAATTCACAATATTTTATTCAGCATGAATTATAAATTCAAAGCATGTAAACTTTGCGTACATCCATTTTGATCCACATTATTACTAGAAGAATCGTCAGGAAATGGATGTGTCGGACTTCTCAAATAATGTGGCTTAAAATACTTGTCATATTCTTCAGGATGAGCCTTTTTCTCATGAATTTTCCAATTAGCCTCAGCACGAAACTCACGTCCACAACCATCCACACGACATTTAAACGGAAAGTCTCGTGTATGTCGCACAGCAATATGTTCTTTCATTTTCACTTCTCGATGGAACTTTTTATCACAGTAACTACATTGGAACTTGTAATTAGTCGAATGCACGATAGTTTTGTGCTTGTATACGCTCAATTTGGATTTAAAGAACTTGCCACAAACATCACATTCCGCTCCAGTATTATTTTTATGTTTTTCCATGTGCTGCTTCATAGATGTCTTTACAATCCAGTGCTCACAAATTTCACATTTCACTTTTTCTTTGATCTCATTTGAATGCTTTGCTCGCATGTGATGTTTCATTGACACGACTTTAAGAATGGCTGAACAAATGTGACAAATTGTCGTTTTATACTTTGGACTATCGGGATCATGAAGATATTTCATGTGTCGTTGGAGTGTATACTCGTTCTTAAATGACTCTCGATGACAAACGAAGCATTCAAATGTTCTACCGTCACCTTCTTTATGCATGACATTTATATGAGTATTCAAAGCACTGCTTGTTTTAAAAATTTTACCACATTGTGTGCACATAAATTCATAATTAGGTACGATTTTTAGATGAACGATGTTGACATGTTGCTGGAGAATTTTCTTCGTTTTATATTCTTTGCCACACGTCTCACAGCAATGAACTTTTGATCTATCGTGCCACTCAATATGATCAAGCAGAGCATATCTCCTTGTGAATTTTCGATTACAGCACATAAGATAACCTTTCTCGTCGGGATGGAATCGCTTAAAGTGCTTCCGAATTCTCCAAAATGCATCAAATTTCTCGTTACAGATGTGACATTTGACTTCTACGAAGTTTCTAATTTTTTCTTCTCCTTCAGGGTCATGAGATCTGTGTGGACGTTTATTAACATTTGGTGCTTCCTTTTCAGCCTTCGGTTCCTTCCATGATTTAAGAGGCCTTCTTGGAACTTTATATTCAATGCCGTCAATCATAACAAATTTTTGCTTAGATTCTAAAATCTCTGGGGTAAGATCACATTGACGAATGTATCTCACATAAGTTTGAGCCTTTTGTTTTCTTTCTTCAGCTGTTAAATTAGAATCGTCAGTTTCATCACTGTTGCTTTCGATTTTTCTCTTCTTTGATTTTACTTCCAAAACCTTAATCTCATCTCTAAGTGTTTTTTCTTCATTTTTATTTTTCGCAACTTCCCAATTTTGCTTTATCGATTCATCCAATTCCCATTCAAAGTCACTTTCGTCTTCTTTTCTATTCTTTTGGGTTTCTTTATGGCTGTCTTCTTCCTCAACTTTGGAAGTTTTATCAAATCTCTCAATTTTCACCTCACAATCACGTAATTCAATGGCTGTATCATATTTAACAATTTCAGGATCAAAAATATTAATTTCTTCTGGTTCTGTAATCTCACAGAAGTTAATTGGGAATGTATCAATCTCTTCATCCTTGACTTTTACAATTTTATAATTAATTCGGACACGAGATAGAAGTTCATAAAAGGATTTGAAGCAATTTAAGCAAGTTAAGCAGACTTGTTGATCAGATAGATCGTTTTTAAGGATAAGCTGTGAAATAAAAAGAACTCATCAGTTCTAAATTTTGTTTATTTACATTCTTCATAACTTACAAAAGAACATTCAATACTTTCTCGTATTGCTTGATCTAATGTCTTTGAATCATTGATTCTTTCAGTTACACTTATTAATTGACTGTCACTAGCCTCATTAAAACACAGGATGCAGTTCATAATGATTGATTTATTTCATAATTTTTCAATTTTATTAAATTCAGGATTTAGGTTTCTTCAATAATTGGGGTACAAAGGTTTAGTAAAACTAGTTCAAATTATAGAAATCCGTTAAATGGATGTGATACCTAAAAGCATTCATTAACAGAATAAGCATCCAAAGATTTTCCTTTGCAGTTATTTTTCCATCCGTACCAAGCTGTGTGTAAAAATAAATAATTAATTAAAACATGATTTAAGGGTTATTTCATTAATGACGTCTATCATTTAAGGATGGCGTTAGAGGGAATTGGAAATTTAAGGTCAGTTGAAAGTTTGAAATTTTTGTGAAGAGTGAAGGTATTGTGTCAGAGATGACACGTCATAGACTAACGTTCCCAAAAGGAACTACCAAAAAACACTACCTTCAAAGCCATGCCGATTGAAAATCTTCTTTGCACATGTGATATCGTCTGTTATATCGTCATTAAGGAATTCTATAGAAGCAAGACATAAAAAATTAATTACATGATGACAATAGAAATAATCTGACTTAATCCTTACTGCCACAATCGATATTACAATCTCCACCTGCGCTGCCAACTTTACACCAATATTTATCATTTATTTGAAATATTCCATAGTCATACGATCCGTTCTTATTTCTAGTTCCTTTCGTCCTTGAATTGTATGAACTTTCATGTTTAACCAGGCACATCCAATCTGGCAGTTTGTTGCGTGAAAATGTCCCATCAAGCTTTCGTGCAAGCTCACACTTTGTGTAGATTTTTGCGTTTACTTGATTGCTTGTCGCAAGAATTAAAATTGATAGAATTAATAATTTCATTTTTGATTATGTTTTGTTTTTTCGGGCAGTTCCTCTAGCGAATGTGAACGCTTTAATGAATACTGAATGGAGACATTAAAGTTCTCACTCATTTTATACACAATTGAATGTTGCTGATAAAGGAATGAAAGAGAGAATCGAAGTTTTTATTTATTAATGCTTGTAAATGGCTATAACGCATACACAATATTTTGCGGATTAAGGTTTCTTGAGAATTCTAATTAGTAAATTAAGAGAAAGTAGATCCTCTTTTATAAACCTGATTTTAATCAGATCATGAGTTAAAAATTGAATGAAGCACAATGAAGTAGACCACGGGCAAGGCGTGGAAACTATCCCAAATATCCAATTTATCCCATATATCCCAAAAATATTCAAAATAATCCCTGAGCCTGTATGCATTAGAATTGAGATATCTCATCATATCCTGAAATTACACGTCCAATACACTAAGGATACGTTGGGATATCTTTATTATTGTGCATACATGCTGAAGAATTTTTTGAATATTTTTGGGATATGTGGGATAAATATGATATTTGGGATAGTTTCCACGCTTTGACCACGTGTGTTGAATGCAATTTTGAGGAGAATGGTGAAGACGGGTGCTGAAAAATTTGAACAGAACCCCCAAACTGACAACAACTAATGACTAAACCTAAGCTATACCAGCTTAAAAAAATTCACAATCACGGGGAATTTTTTATTTTTGTTTTATTTTTATTCAAATTATTTTTTCTTAATTTATGAGCAAATAAAAGCTGTGATAAGAATTTTAATGAGGAACAATTGCAATCTCAATAGAACCACTCAAATGTTAAACATTCCAAACATTTCTAAGGTTTCATCACTCTCTTTCAACCCTAATCAAAACAAAAGAAATTGAGAGAATCAGCATTGAAATTGGTTTCATTTGTTGATATTTCATAGCATAAGCACTTGCCATGCGCAAAATAACACAAGTAGAGGGGATGAATAATTGGAAGTTGGAAAATTGTCTGGAAATCTCTCTCAAACCAAATCTACACTGATTCGATAGGAAACTGTTCGTCCGATTTTAAATCTGATAGTACATCTATTGTTTCTCATAAGCAAAGGACTAGAAAAAAAGTTCACGACAAAAGTATCGTGAAGGTATAGAAAAAAAAAAAGTTAAAAATAAGAAAATTGAAAAAGGAATTTGATCAAAGCTGATAAATATTTAAAGACAAGTTTCTCAGAAGAAGTCGTCCTTTGATTCCTTTTGATTAAAAGTTTAAAAATTAAATTCATCAACAAAAAAAAATAAAAGTTTTACACGGTGGAATTTAAACCTGACTGAATCTCAAACTCACGAGAATCAGCAAAAAGAATCAGATAAGGATAAAAAAAATGTCAAATCGATTTAAATAAAATTAAATAAAGAAACGTGAACACGTTATTGAGTGAATACCATTGTGTACGGGATATTGAATATAGGTCTCGTTGCTGTTCAAGGAACAAAAAATTTCCACACCAATAATTGCATAACAAATTTACTTGACAAGGAAAGAGAAAAGAGACCCAAAAAAAAAAATAAAAGTGTGTAGCATACATTAAAAGTAAGCAGCGATAGCGCGTAAAGTAAAGAAAAATTGCCGCAACCAGCAACACAGCCAAAGAAAGCAAAACGATACGAAATGGTATAGAATTAAAGTTAAATGGCAAGGAAACAGCGCGGCATTAATGTGAACATGATGTGATTAAAAATCATAATTTTTCCCGCGTTCTGCAGCACCAAAAAAAAATTATTTTAAGCCATAGTCAAGGTATAGGAATAGTGCGATATAAATTTTCTCCTGATAATTGCTAATTAAAACGGAAAAAATAAACAACGAAACCAGTCAAAAAAAGGAAAATCTAGAGACTGTATATATATTTTTTGTGTGTACGGAAAGTGTGAGTTTTAGTGCTATTTTTTAACTCCTCGTCTACAACCTTAACATTTTTACATTGTATGTATAGTGGTGCGTATTAATAACCGAAAAAAGCGGATTACATGAAAATTGCTAGTTGCACGAATAGAGAAAGTGAGTGAGACCAAAAAATATGTATTCACATTAAAGTAACACAATTATATCCTTGAATTAGAATTTGTGGCCTTTCAAGGCACAACCCGCAGTATTAAACAAAAAAAAAAGTATAATCTTAATTAACCCTAAGAAAGAAGTAAAAAGACATGCAAGGCAAGTGAAATAATTCCATAGAAGAAGTACGAAAAACCTCATCAAAAATCATCAGCTAACATACGTTGTCGTATGTCTTGGATTGTGTGCTGAGTGAATGTAAAGTGTGTAATTTAAATAATAGAAATTAATTGTAATGAATATCAGCCAATTAATTAAGGAAATGAGCGGTTGTATGGTGTCATAAACAGCATACAAAGAGAAGAATTGAGTGATAAAGTTCTTGTTCCTGCTGATTAATTTTTTCCCGCAATAATTATTGTTGTGGATGAACAAAAAGAAGGAAGAAAAATTACACAATTTGTGCTGAGTGATTTAAAAAAAGAATCATAGCTGTGCAGGCTTAACAAAAGAACATTGAGACAGTACAAGTGTGATTTCTCTTTCCTTAAAATCCGTAAGAGATTTTTTTTATATCTTTCAATTCTCGTTGGAGAAAAAAGGCAAGGAATGATTGCTCGGGTCAGTGATTAAGGCAAATTATTTTTCCTTTACTACCCAATATCTTTCTGCCATCGTCTTCAGCCTCATATCCATACAAATTTCCCTAAACACTTTTTTCAGGCCGTGTGTCCAAAAACTTTTTTTTTGCCTTTTGTTTTTCTTTTTTATGCTGGATATTTGAATAAGCACACAAGAAAATTGGAAAGCTATCCTTAGACGATAAAAACTGGTATTTTGCACGAAAAAGTCATTTTCCTTTATTTCATCCTTTATTACTGACTTATAGGATATTATAATAAAGTGTGTGTGGTAGGGCTAGTGTTGAAGAACCTCAAACAAAAATAAAATAAGGTGAAAAAATTAATATCTTCATAAATAATTGAAAAGTGATTTTATAAACTTAATAGGCTTATAAAATTTTAGTGTTAACCGAAAAAAATATAAAACAACATAAATTTTGTGATTAGTGAATATTTAAAGAAGAACATCTCCTTACATTCAGTTCAACAAAAGAGGAGCAACAAAATATAATTCAAATAAATATTATATACACATTCAGTGAATGATTTATGGTCACAGGAAGATCCATAAATATGGAAATACACAATTTCAATTTGAATAATCGTTGGATCACAATGATTTCGCATTGGATTATCATTTCAGGTATGTTAAACTGGAAAACTTGTTAAATTATTGCGAAAATTATGTTTTTTTTTATTACATGATAATTTTTTTATGTGGCTCATGAATTTTTATATTGGGATAAATTCACATGAATAGGTGATATTAGGGATTTAAAAGTGGATGTTTCTAGTGTGGGATACAAGGGGTTATATATAAATAGGAGCTGGTTTCTGTGACCAGTTTTCCTAGAAATAAAAATATATGTTCAACAGTGTGAGGTATATTACCAGTGACAAGACTAGGGTACCTCGGGTAGTCCTTAAAACTGAATCTGAGTTTTTTAAGGATTATATTGTGCAAATTTTTTTTTTATTAAATTGGTTCATAATAATAAACTAGCATTTCTGCTGTTTTATACTTAAATTAATTTGTATAATATTGAGTAAGCATCAAAATTAGGTAATTGCTCATTACAACGGTTGTTCATTAAAATAAAAAAAATTAATTTTTAAAAATTATGCTCTAGTTTAGTGAATTAAAATTCTGATTAAAATTCTAGAATCGAAATAAAAAAATGGTATGTCCAACTGACTGGAACTGCCAAATTTTTTTTCGATTTTTAACGTTTCATGACTTTTCCAGAAAAGGCTCAGTTCCACAGAACTAAGCAGTGCCACCAGTTCCTTCATGTCCATATTGGACCATATGCTCATATTTAACCTGATAATGCAGTAATTGCCTTCATTTTTTGTTCAGTTCTTGTCGAAACATCAATTTATTGATAAAATTTCAAGGAAGAATTTCAATTACAATTCCAAAATTGATTCGTTCAATTTAAATTTTGATTTAAGAATCAAAATAGAATTGGAATTGAAATCAAATTTTATTTCAATTCTAATTAAAATTCTAGAATTTTTTCAATTCAATTTCGATTCTAGAATTTTAATCAGAATTTTAATTCACTACTCTAGTTGGGTTTAATATTTTTTTTTTAAATTAAAACCAACTTGTCACATGTCATGGCACTTTCTTTTAAGTTTCATTGAAAAAATATTTTTTTCTTAAGTTTATGGTGCCTAGCAATTTCAAGTAGGCTTAATTTTTGTTTTAAAATGTTTATTGAACTAAACTTGGCTATGCTAAAGTGCAACAAAGAGGAGGGGAGGTCTATCTACTATTATTGAACATTCTTCTTATTTAAAAGAGACCTATCAAATTGAAAAAAAAAATTGAAGATGGATTTAGCTGGTGATTTGTCTGCTTAATTGCACAGCTAAGTTAAATATGTTCCTCTAGTTTAGTGAGATAGCTTTTACAAGCTTAACCGAAGTCTGAACCTTTTTTAAAAAATCAACACCCATCTCTCAAAAATTCCTAAAGGACTAAAAATACAAAAGTTCAATCTTTTGAAATTCCCATAAAATCATCAAATACCTAAAGTTATTTTTATCTCTCGAAAAATTCCTCGAAAACATTTTCACAAAAAACAATGCCACCGAAAAAAAATTCCAGCTCCAATTTCCTCATCAAAAAAACCTTTTAATAAATTCCTACCACAACTATAAAAACATTCTCAAAAACACCAGACATCCGAGCAATTTCCCAATATGTGAACAACTTTTTTAAATGTGAAAAATATTCATGGATGTACACAGGATGCCTCGTCACATTCAATATATGCCAACATCAATTTTCACCTATGGAATATGATATGGAAGCAGGAAAAAA